TTTCCGGCTACTTGCGTTCACAATGAGAAGAAAATCATCTGCGTATGCTTGGATATGGGTATGATTAATATTGTCGTATAGTTTTAAAACTTCGTTTGCTATAAGATTCCAAAACGTAGGGCTTAAGCAAGATCCTTGAGGACAACCTTTTGTTAATTTATAATTTATTACACCGGAATCTGAAGAATATTGTAGAGTTCTATTGCATAGGTAGTCTTTGATAATATGAAGGATATCCTGAGGGCATGGTATTATTTCTAGAATTGTTATGATGTCTTTCCAGCGGATAGAATCGAAGGCTGCTTGAATATCTATCGAAATTATTATTGAATGAATGAATTCTTTGATTCATTCATCTTTAAGACTTCTTGCATTTTTTGAAAAGCATGATCCTGTTGATTTATTTGGTGTGAATCCATACTGATTTTCATGCATGATTTTATTCTTATTTAGATGATATAAAAGTCTTGAAAGGATTAGTTTTTCAAGGAGTTTGCCCAACGTGGGAAGAAGGCATATTGGTCTATAAGATAGAGGGTTTGTGGCTGGTTTATTTTTCTTGAGGAGCAAAACAACTTCTGCATTTTTTAAATATATTAGGAAATGTTAAGTTATACCAGCAGGCGTTAATGAATGATATAATAATTTGTTGATAATTATAAAAAATAAGTTTTAAGATGATGTTGTCGATACCATCGGGACCTGGTGCTTTCCTGTTATTTAGTCTTTTGATGATATGTTCCAATTCATCGATCTTTGGAGGGATGATAACTGTTGGTGGATTAGGACGACGTGTGTAGAAGAACTGTTAGATGCTTCTGTATCTGTGGTATGATTCGATCTATATTCATCTTGTGTGAATAGTTTTGATAAAATTTCTAACGCAGCTTGGGAAGAGGAAATTGATTCAGAGAAGCTGTACATTGATAATGAAGGAGGAGTGAAAATTTTATTGTGCGCTAATTTGAAGGCGGAGCCATAAATTTTGGAGGTAGAAGTGCAAAATGTTTTCCAACTATTAATTTTTGATATTCTGATATTTCTTTTATAATGCGCTCTTGCTTTTTGGAAAGCTATTTTATAGTGAGTTCTTTCTGTATCTTCTATACAGGCTTTGTATCTTCTTCTAAGAGCTCTTACTTTTTTTCTTTCTATTGCAAGATTTTGATTCCACCATGGAGTACTTAATTTTTTGGTACCTGAGCATCGTTTATATGAGGAGTTGCAGATCTCTGTTATACTATTTATGAGGTATGAAACAGAGGAATTTACTTCCGCTTTTGAAGAGGCTGTTTTTAAGGAATGAAGAATACTGTCAGAGTAATTTTGTAGATTAGCTATAAATTTATTGTGTCCGCCATAATGAGTTTTGAAGCGACGTTTTTTATTAAAAGTGAAATCAGATTGTATTTCAAAAGTGATGAATCGGTGATCACTAAAAGATTCTATTTCAGAAACTTTCCAATTTGTGATTAAGGATGCTATTTTAGGCGTTGCGAGAGTTAAGTCAATCCAACCTTGTGCTCTTAGTGTCAGGAATGTAGGTGGACTATTAGCGTTATTTAAAATTGTAAGTCGTTTTTCTTGAATAAATTCTAAAAGCAGTCTCTACCTCTATTATTTTCAACCGGCGCTCCCCATACAGGGCTATGTGCGTTGAAGTCTCCTGCAATGATGATGTGATTTGAGTTTGGAGGCAGTTGAATTGAGTCCAGTTCTATAAGTATCTCTTGCAAGTCTATTGATGGAGGAGCATAAATGGAGGTACAAAATAAAGGATGAATAAGAAATTCTAATTTGATAGTTATTGTATGTAGAGTAGTATGAACTATTATTGGAGTTAGAGGCCCAATGTAGATTATAGCAGATTTATGAGAATGCGAAAGATGATAAAATAGCCCCGATGGAATTTCCTTGTTGAGGAAATATATGGTTCTTGTGCAAAGATGATATTGATATTTTCTTCGTTTGCAAACTGTAGAGCATTCGGCAAAGTAGCACGAGCTCTTTGTAAATTTATTTGTAGTATTCTTATTTGTTTATGAGAATCCATTAGTAGTATGTTCTTGATATTATTTTCGAGACTTCTAATTGATAAGAAGGGCAGTGAACGTCATTTGCAGCATGATAGATATGAAAATTGGTGTTAAAATAAGAGTTATTAACTTGACAGTTAATGCAGGTTGGAGCTGGAGCTTGACATTGCGAGATATGATGATTATCTCCGCAGTATAGACAATGTGTTGAATAAGTGCAGAATTTGCTTGAATGTGGGAAATCTTGACAATTATTGCATCGACGAATTCCGAAGTGCTCAGTGATTCGAATAGTTTTCCAACCTATTGCAATTGATTTCATGTTGATAAGAAGTTCAAAAACCGTGGGGGAACATTCAATTACCCACTTTGTTGTAGATTCTGATCTTTCTGAAAGTTTGAAAAGTGGGGTGAAAGAGTGGTTGGAAGTATCTATTAACGAAAATATTAAGGCAGAAATGTCCTGATCCGTGTAATGGGCTGGAACATTGTGAAAGTTACATCTTGGGAGTCTTGGTAAAGAGATTCGAAGAGAAATATTATCTATTGGGCTATCTATTATTGTTGTTTTTAAGGAGTTTGACATCGTTGTAAGATTCGCAGGTGACAACCAGGCCTCCTCTTTTAAGTTTGGTTATTTTTTAATTTTCTGTTTCAAATTGTTTAATGGTACATAGTGATCCAAATCATCTAAAAGTTTTTCAGTCGTATTATTTTCTTTTAGATGGATGATAAGTGCTGGAGATTTTTTATTTGAGTTGTATTCGTTCACAGATGGATAATTGTGTGGTAGTGTGATATTCGGAGTAGAATGTGTATGGCAGTTTGATCTCATATGCAAGTGATCTTGATGAAAATTATCAGTGTGAGTTTCATTTAAATGAAAATTAGGAATAATATGAGCTGATTTATTTTGAGTATTGATTTTTTCTTTTTGAGATTGAGGAGACTGAATAGACGGAGTAACTTGCCCCGCTTTGTCTTGCATAGTAGTCTTCTTATTATGAGTATTTGGAGACAGGATAGTAGGAGTGACTTGGCCTGATTTATCAGAATAGTTCTTAATTTCAGTTGATTTCATGGCAATATTTCTTAGATTGTCCAAAATTTGTGTTAGTTGATTTTGTAACTTTAATGGAATAGTGTTCTTTTCCCCCTTTTTGGATTTTAACAATTTCAGTCCTTTGTTGTAAAAGAATTCGATGACCTCCTTATTGCTGACGAGGACATTTTCAGAATTTTCGAGAACGTCAGTTGAATACTCCATATCCAATTCTGAATTTGTGTCCGAAAAAGTATCAATGGTACATTATTATTATAAAATAATAGAAATGTAGAGAAGAAAAATAGAAATAAAAAGTTGAAGTCTTGTAAAATTGAAATCTTCAAAACACAAGAGTCAATGCTTTCTGCTATTAAAATGTAAACAATGCGTTAACTTTTATTTCGTATATTACTATTTAATAATATTTAAATATTTAGTGTTTCCAATTACAGAAAACTAAACAATTTCTTAAAACATATTTAAAATGAGATTTATTTATTTTATAATTAAGGATATTAACAATTTTATATATTAGATGAATGTATTATTGCATGCGCTTAGTTAAATTTTGACATATGCATTGCTAGTATTATTCCAATTATTTAAATATGAAAATAAATAGTAAAATATTGAAAAATGTATAATAACTTTTTTAAAATAATGAATATTCAGAAATTAAACCAATATGAAAAGAAAGAGAAAATTCTTCTTGTTATTTCTATTATAAAATCATTATATTTCAACAAAATCTTAAAATGAAAATATAAAAGATATATGTATTTAGATCAGTTAGAGCCGATACAATAATGTAACTCAATAAATTTTTCTTAAGATAAAAGAGGATAAGTATCAAAATTTGAAAATATAATAATTTTTAAATGCAAATAGGTATAGGAAAAGTATTTATCTTAATGTAAAGAAGAAAATTTCTCTTATAAGAAAATATAATTTAAAACATAATTTTCAAATGAAATCTTGAAAATATCTAGTACATAAAGCTTACACCACCGTTGAAACGGAGTAATGATTGTTGAAAAGCAGAGACCTATTTTCCGAAGTTGTAATTAATTCAACCATCCACAGGTGATAAGGAGCACCCCTATGAGTGTTATATCAAACTGTTACTCTTATAAAGGGCTGTCGAATGACATATTTTTCAAGAATATACTGTCAGCATTTCCGCACTTACAAATCCTCAAACGATCAGCATTAAAACATCCAACAAACAATGTAGCAGTCAACATTTTTCTGGCAGAATGCAGTTGCACATGTTCACTCTATAACGCGGTACTCCCCACTGTCATGGCCAGTTAAGTTGAAACTGGCCGCATGGATAGAGAAGGTGTATGGCATAGGGTCACCAGAACAGTTGTTGCCAACTCCACTTTATTTTCAAGCTACACACTTAGGCTCATTTTTTTTTATGTCACACCTTGTATATATGGTATGCCTGCAAATTTTACACTTATTCTCATACTTTTAATGAATTTTAATTAGTGTTCTTACAAAAAAAAAATCTTAGTCTAATTTTTATGTATTGAGAAACTGAATAATGATTTATTAAATAAATCCAACTCCAGTTTTTCCATACATAAAAATGAAAAGTCTTAAAATGAGGTATATGACATATATAATTGATTTTTAATTACTAAGTAACTTTGGTTATTTATGTATGCATTTATAATGCTTTGCAAGAGAGAAATGTTTTATTTGGTTATTACTATGATTTATCATTTAATATGATTATGTATCTTTAGGTGATGAATTAAATTTGCATACTTTTATTGTTGTCATCTATATACACTTAATATTGTACCACACTTGAGTGATTAATTAGTGTAGAAATTATTTATTTAATGCAGTGTCATAAATAATGTTAATTTAAAAAGGAATACTTTTCATTATTTTTAAAATTTTAGTGACTGCTGAACAGTTATGGAAAGGAGTTACCAGTGTCAGTCCTGCTGGTCGTAAGAAAGGAAGAGGAAAATCTAGAAAAGTACCTCGTGATCTAAACAGAGGACAGGTCATAGGATTTGGTAAGCTTTTCAGTGACTTACATATGCGAAAATTCTTACATAGTTTAATTTCAAACTGTTAAATATTGATTCTTCTCGTAAAAGTGGGCGTAACAAAAAATTAACAAATTTTCTTTGATGATCTTATATTTTGTGACTTTTTCTCTTCTCCGAAAGGTAAAGCTTATTAAAAATTTTCAAATTATGCTCTGAATGGGAAAATCAGCTCTGAACTGGCTTTAGAAGTAGACTAATTTGAAGGTGGAAAACTTGAAAAACTATAGGAAAAAAGTCCTAAAAATATGAAATACAGGGTGTTTAACCCATTTTGATGTTTAATAACTCATAAAATAATGAAGATATAAACAAATATATGGCATTTATTGATGAAATAACTTATATATTTTCCTTTTCAGGTTTGTATATCTTTACTTTTGTAAATATCATCTGCGCGTGTAGTTAATTTCAAATAATTTCATTTTCCAGTCTAAATATCTGTACTTTTCTAAATAACATCTGTTTATTAATTTCATTTTTCTCTCTTTTGTTTTTGGCAACTATTGCAATGTTATGTTTACTTTGATGTGCTTGTTCTAGTACTTTTGTATGTGATATTTTATTCGACCAGATATTAAGGAGAATGCATACACCACAAGAGAAAGCACAGATTTTATGGTGGCTCATAGAAACGAAAACCATAATGCAAACACAGAGAAATTGCAGAAGAATTTACCAAAAATATCCTCCATCCAGAAGCAGCATCTTGCGGTGGAAAAAGAATTTTCTAGAAACTAGGAGTATCACATATAAGAAATGTTTCAAACGTCCCTGCACAAGTGATTTTTATGTTGAGCGTGTCAGAGAGACATTTTTACACAATCCTAGATCTGTGAGATCAGCAGCAAGAGAATTGGATATGCCAATTTCGACGGTGTACAAGGTTATTAAGAAAAAATTAAGACTGCATGCATACAAAGTTCAAATTGTAGGATGGCCTTTGCAGCAAATATGCTAAGGAGGATAGAAGATGCTGCTGAATTTCTGAAGCACATAATGTTCTCCGACGAAGCATCCTTTCATCTTTCTGGCATTGTTAATCACCATAATGTGCGCATATGGGGATCTGAAAACCCCCATGAATACCGTGAGGCACAAAGGGATTCCCCAAAGGTTAATGTGTGGTGTGGACTAATGCACGACCGAGTCATTGGGCCTTTCTTTTTTACAGAAAAGATGGTCTCATCAGTCGTATACTTAGACATGTTGGAAAACTTCGTATTTCCACAACTTGAAGAGCTTCAGCCACATGTCTTTTTGCAGCAAGATGGTGCACCACCTCATTGGGGTACCATCGTTTGTTGTTCTCTGAAGGACCATCTTACAGAAAGATGGATTGGGCGAGGAGGTCCAATTCCTTGCTACCCAGATCACCTGATATAACGCCGCTGGACTTTTTCCTTTGAGCATTTGTAAAGGACAATGTATACAGGAGGAGTGTCAAACATTGATGACCTAAAAGCCAGAATTACAACCGCAATAGCCTCTGTGGATGCCGACATGCTTGCCGTGAAATGCCGACATGCTTTTACCTGCCATAAAATTGAATATCGACTTGATATTCTCCATGCAACGAAGGGGACACACGTGGAAGTTCATTGACAAGGGTGATGAAACTTTTTGAGTCTATCTAACCATTTATGTTATTAATTTTAATCTATATTATTTCATGAGTTATTAAATATAAAAATGGGTCCGGACTTTATAAACACCCTGTAGATATTTTTATTACACCGTGAGTATTATCATGAAACGTAGGCACTTAGTTATTTTACGAACTTAAAATAAATTTCTTGTTTCAATAAATCGATTAAATATGAATTTATGTAACAAAGGGACTTTAACACCTTTTCAACGGGATTTTTTCTAAAAAAGTTTATTTTTAAAAAGGTATATTTTATTTTATTTTATTTTTTTATTTTGAACACGTTAAACTTTCATCCTTGCGACTGCTTTTACAAAAAGAATTTTGATAAAATGATAATATTTTGTATTTTTAAAAAAATATTTAAATGAAGCTTCCGAATACTCTTTTCACATCTCGCATCTTTAAAAATGTGATTTTGGCAACAATTTTCCTGTCTTATTGTTGTTTATAGATTTTTGATGAAATCGCATCATTTTTAATAGTTTCATTCTTTTAGAAATATGGGTTTGGCAACAGTTTTTCATCGTATTTCTTATGTCACTGTTTTTAAGAGATTGGCAAATTTCATTGTCATTTCTATATATATATATATATATATATATAAAATACATTTTTATTGATTTTTTTTTTTTTTTTTTTTTTTTTTTTTTGATAAAGTTCTGTGGAGTAAAATTCTGCGTGGAATTTTATGTTTTTTGAGTTGCTTTCATGTTATTTTTTGCTTATTTCAGTGTTTGTAAAATATTAAAAAGTTTTGCATGATTTTTTTCTTCAACGGAAAGTTGGTTAATTTTTTATTAGGATAATTAATATTTGTATTAAGCGATAAAGCTTATTTCATTGTAATTTTTTCTCTTGAAAATATAAGATAAAATATCATTAATTATACTTTGCTTTTCAGAATCTTTTGTATTCTTTTATGTTATTTATTGCTGATTTCACTGTTTTTAAAATATTGAAAAGTTTTCAGTGATTTTTTTAGGAAACAAAGTTCTTAACCTTCTTTATAACATTTGAGTTCTTAAGATTTTGCAAAGTCAAGTTGATTAATTTATTTATTAGGATAATTAATATTTGTATTAAGGGATATTGCTTATTTCACTGTAATTTTGTTATACATAATAATTTTATGAAGTTTTTCTGCAGAGTAAAATTCTACGCAGTTTTTAAATTGAACGTTTGGTATTCCCTTCAGCCATTTTTTCCGGTACATTTAAAAGCCAGACGAAGGCTGGCAGCGAAGCTGCTAGTATAATATATAATCAGTGGAGGAGTTCTAATAATTTAACAGCAGTTTCAATCCACTAATGACTATGTAAAGTATAGGAAACAGTATTCGTAAATATTTTAGAGAAGCTAGAAGTTCTAAAAAGCGAGACCTCTTCTAGAGAAATTGTGCCCTGAACCCTGTAAAGAAGTAGATCAGGTTGATCTTTACATTATGGTAACTTAGCGTTTTTTTGGCGAAAATTTGCCGACCAACTCTCCTACAGCAGCCCTCTATTTTTTTTTTCCCGCCGCCATTTTGTCTTCACGAAGTAAAGACATGTTTCTTTTCTTTTTATCTACTGAACACTTCTTCCAACAATCTACTAGCCGAATTACACTTTTGCTAGAAATTTTATCTAACAAAACTGCTTAATCATGACAAATATTCACTGCAAAATTGGGAAAAAGTGCACAATACCATACTCCTTACGCGTTTTTCAAAATAACACATACACATAAACCATGTACACGCCGACTTATTTTTACTTAAAAAAACATCCCAGAATTACACAAAAATGGCACTGCGCACACTCTTCACTATATCCATGAACACTGCTTTTTTCTCATAAATTACAAAAATTTCACGAAAATACATGACAATTTTCTGAATCTTTAAACCCGGTAAAAAGAACATATATGAAATTACCTGATCGCGAAAAAGTTTATACCCTTTCCAAATATGAACATTTCCATATATAAAATAAATAAAATATCCAAAAACTTTTACCTCTAAATCATCTATTACATTATACACGTCGCCAACAAATTCATACTGCAAGCATTACAAATACTTAGTGTCAAATATTTAAATTATTTCCATGCACGTTTACTTCAACTTAAACGTATACCAAATTCCTACAAACTTAAAATTCACAAAATAACTATCATTTAATTAAAATATCAAAACCATGTACACGTCGACTTATTTTTACTTTAAAAACACCCAGAATTGTACAAAAATGGCATTGCGCACTCTTCACTATATCCATGTACACTGCTTTTTCTCATAAATTAGAAAAAATTTCACGAAAATACATGACAATTTTCTGAATCTTTAAACCCGGCAAAAAGAACATATATGAAATTACCCGATTACGAAAAAGTTTATACCCTTTCCAAATATGAACATTTCCACATATAAAATAAATAAAATATCCAAAAACTTTTACCTCTAAATCATCTATTATATTATACACATCACCAATGAATTCATACCGCAAGCATTACAAATACTTAGTGTCAAATATTTAAATTATTTCCATGCACGTTTACTTCAACTTAAACGTATACCAAATTCCTACAAACATAAAATATTTAAATTATTTCCATGCACGTTTACTTCAACTTAAACGTATACCAAATTCCTACAAACATAAAATTCACAGAATAACTATCACTTAATTAAAATATCACTAAACCATGTACACGTCGACTTATTTTTACTTAAAAAAACATCCCAGAATTGCACAAAAATGGCATAGCGCACACTCTTCTATATCCATGTACACTGCTTTTTTCTCATAAATTAGAAAAATTTCACGAAAATGCATAACAATTTTCTGAATCTTTAAACCCGGTAAAAAGAACATATATGAAATTACCTGATCGCGAAAAAGTACATACCCTTCCAAATATGAACATTTCCCCGTATAAAATAAATAAAATATCCCAAAAACGTTTACCTCTACATTATCTATTATATTACAAACGTCACTAAACTAATTCATACCTTTACTTCATTACAAATGGTTACAAATACTTAGTGTCAAATATTTAAATTATTTCCATGCACGTTTACGCAAATTACTTTACTTCCACCTTACATTTAGAACAATGCATAAAAATAATATCCTCAAATAATTAAAAAATACTAACCTATTCTTCTTCAGAATCTTGATTACGTGTCCGATAAACTTTTCTTATTTCTGTTTCAGGATCTTTAAAAATCATACTTATAGTTCACACCAAGGTACCAGGTAAAATAAATAACTTAATAAAACATCTTTACTTCTATCTCGCACAACCTTAAAGAAACACTTATTTACCCCTTTCAATCCCACTGAATATGCATTTCGAATTCACTTTAGTTAGGGCCATGGGATCCAAAAGTTAACGAACACTGTTTCACACAACACAGAATAAAGGCAAATACAAAATTTCCAGATTTTTTCCCGATTTCCCCCCTTTTCCGATTAAAGAACCATAATTCGTCCATTAATATCACATGACATATCCCCTGATCTCTCATTTCCCTCACACAAAATAATGCGTAATCGGAACTGAGTACTGCTCACATTATTACCAAAGTCCCAGGTAGTAACCTTTATCGCCTCCAAAATGTCGCCAAATTACCAGTTACCATATTGTAAAGATCAGTCGTAGATTATGTTGCATAAGTGTATTATTATCACATGTTTGTTGATTTTCCAAATGGGCAAAACTCCCCTCAATAGAAATCGATGATTTATTATTGGGACTCAAAAAATCATCCTGGCAGTATATACAGGGTGTTTATAAATGAATAGTGCAATTTCAAAAATTAATAATAAATTGATATATTTACCTTACCCATGTAAAACCTGCATTGTAAGCATTGACAGCTATCCTATATTCTCGTGTGTTTGTTGTTTTGTGCTATTTGCTTGTTATGCTTACTGCGCAGTCACAGCATTAGTTTCCAAGATAGGGACACAACAGTAAAAGGCTTTCCATGTGCTCCATTTTGAGGTGTCTAGATTTGTGGTTTCATGCACATTTTCAGTGCAGTGTCCCACGAGAGAGTTCTTGGCCCATTTTTCTTCGAAAACGAAACTGTGATCGATGACTTATTTCTAGACATGTTGGAAACCTGATTGTTACCCTAGCTGAACACCAATTATGATGATTACATTTTGCAAATGGCCGGTCCTCCACCCCCATTTTCACAGGAATACACGTGAGCTTCTTAATCGTGTTCTTCACCAACCCTGGAGTGAATATGCTGCAACAGCAAACAGCCTTCTTCCCTTTCCACCCCATTTGCTACATTTAATGCCAAAGTTGACACACGGTTTCTTTCTTTGGGAGTTTGTTAAAGACCGAGTTTATGTACTGCCAATCTCTTAAGGATGTTTATGGTCGGATAAAGCATACACTGTACATCATCACGACACGGCAGACATGCTCTACTGAGTATGGGAAGAATTTGATTACCATGTAGATGTGTGTCATGTGACCAAGGCTGCACATATTGAAGGATTATGATTAATGCAACAAATATTTGGACAGTTGCTGCTGGTGTAAGTAGTGCATTGATTTATTATTCATTTTTAAAACTGCACCACTCATTTATAAACCCCCTATATATATATAAATAGGCCCATGCTTCCACCATTCAGACTAGACATTCATACTTCTTCTCTTGTAATTCTATTTATTATTGCAAATTAAAACATGCTTAATCCTTTCTGGAATTTTTTCGAGGATATAAGTGTTTAAGATTTACTTCGTAAGTTTTAATACAGATATTTTGAGTTTTTATGTATTTTTTGCCTTGTCATGAAGTGAGAACTGAATTAATTGACTGAGAAATACTCAATTGTCTGTGAAAAACTGTTTCTTTTTTGTTTTGTTTGCTTAATTTCTTTTATACATCATTCTAGCTTTATTATAGTATTTGAATAGAACATGTGGCAACGATTAGATAATTCTTTAAATGATGTAAATTTTGTGCATTCTGAGTTATAATATGAACGAAATATAATACTGTTAAGTGAATCTATCGCCAGAGTGTCGCTATGGTAAACAAATACTAGAGGGAATTTTAAAGAATGCATTTATTCTACTGTGGTTTATGTGCTGTCAGTGAAGTAGGTTTAATTCAATCTAATATGTTTAAATAAAATGCAAGAAAAAATGCATATAATTTAATATTCCGTACAAGGAAGTCATGTGGTGTACACATCAGATTTTTTTTCTCTTGTCAGGCAGGAGTTTTTCTTCCATCATAAGAAAAATTCCTAGAAAATAAAATAAGGAAAATGACAAACAACTTAAAAAATTCTTCTGCTGTTTGCATATTTTTGTGCATTTTAACGGTATCATCTGATTGTCCAGTTTTAATGAATTTCCTGAACTCTTGAATGAAGTGTGCATATTATAAAGATTGGTCTAGCAGTAATGAGAATACCAGTTTAACCATCATTTCTTACCATTATTAGACTAATTAAATTTAGTGACTGCTTATTAAATACGGATTGCTATTTTATGTCTTTGTAGTGAATTGGGCTTGTCGTTAATTAAATTAGCTGTCTCTTTAAAAAAAGGCAGAAAGAAATTTTGTGCAGTTTTTTACAGTGAAATAAAATATTTGTCAAATTAAGATTTTTTGCTTAACTTTTTAATGTGGAAAAATTGGTGCTATTTGATTTTCATGGCCCTGTTATCAAAACGGTGCCAAGATTATCACCAACTTTAAACTACTTGCATATAGTGCGTGGCTGCCATATCTCTGTGATTGCTTTTAATATGCCATCAAAAGGTTCATTTTTCCCAGAGGATTTCTGACATATGAATTCTGAAGGATACAACTCTAAATGATGTTGAGCTGTAACCCTTTTCTTTTTGTTTTGCTGTTTAACAGTCCCACTATCTTTTTACGTTTTGTGTGTTAAACACCCATTGTTGGATGAATAAAATAAAATTTGTAATTCACAGATAAATGGCTGTAACCAGACTTTTCAAGCTCATCTGTTTTATAGTCCTGCCAATAATCTGAATGAGAGTTGGTTTTTCATTGCACGAACAATCTCTCCTCAATTTCAACTATTTTTCCAGGCTCAGCTATTTCCAGGTTGTCTGGAGAGAAGACTTATTAGATTAGTAAATCTAGCAAAAACCCTCTCTCATAAAATTGTTCAAGTCAATCATGGTATTTTGACGCATGTTGAGCTGTTTTATCGCACTACATAAATGATGTTCATTCCTCTGCCCAACAGTAGATGAAACAGTGCTGTTAGGAATTATATTCTGGAACAACTACTAAACCACAGTTGTCAGACTGAATTTTCTTTTTTTTTTTTTGTTAAAAAATTTTCGCATTTGCACCTACACATACTTTTGTTTATATATAATTTCATTTCTTGGCCATTTGCACATATTCAGTTGCAAGTTTTTTTTTTTTTTTTTTTTTTTTTTTTTTTTAATGATATGGCAGCTTTATCACACCTCCTTAAATTAAAAGTTGTTAACAGTTTTTTGCAATGTTCAAATTGAAAAAAGATTACTACGATATTATGCTATTTATTTGGCAAATATAAGTGAAATTATTGGATTTGGCAAATATAAGTGAAAAGTGAAAGTACCATTTTTTATTTAAATATTTAAACTGAAAAATGATTGTTATGATTTCTGCAGTTTGCATTATTTGGGGATTTATCATGAAGGCCATGAAAATCCAGTAGTGCCGAAAAATTTTATTAATCTTGAAAATTGGAAAATTAGAATTCAAATGTAATTTGTAAAAAGGTAATTTGATTACCGTATTATGTATGCAGATAATTCATTTACTTCCTTGCTTAATTATTCATGTTACTACTTTACTAGGTATTTTTTTAAACATTTCATCCCATAGAGGAATATTCACAGCTTTCATTAATATTTTTGTAAAGTGTCTTACAACAGATTTATTTATTGGCATGATAATCTATTGTTTTCTAATATGTGTTTTTTATACCATTAGCATAAAATTGTACATCACTTAGTTAAAACAACAAATTTTTAGGTAAAAAGAATATGTTATGGCCTGGATTGAATGCGCCAGTTATACAAGGTAGAGAAGTATTAAAACAACAAGAATTACCACCAGATGAAGAGCGACAGAAGCGCATCTTAGAGCTTCGTGACAAATTTTCGAAACGCAAATCATATAAATTACATCCACTTGAAAGAGGCTGGAGTGGAACCAAACTTGGTGGGCGAAGTCTTGGCCCTCCAGATCCTGTAGGAGAGGGTATTTATAATTTTTTTAAATGCATAATTCTTATATTTTAACAATGAATTGTACTTTTTCCTCCATTTCTGTTAAACTAAAAGTTTTAAATATAAATGACATAATATAAGCTGAAGCTTCATTATTTATGAAACATTAACATATTTGTTAATATTTGGTATATCTGTTTTATTTTTTATACATATGTATAATGTACGTGAATTTTTTTTATTTCATGGATATATTTTAATGTGTACCATTATATGTATATTCCATAGCTGGCAACTCTCCTGTTTTACTGGGAAACATCCAGTTTTTCATCATATCTTGTATCTTCAAGTAGACCATTGAGTACCTCTGCTTTTTAATTTTTATTAAGGAAAATTGCTAAAAACATTTCCCAGTAAAAAAATGAAATTTATCGAATTACTAAAGCTTAATGTATGTCAGATTCTATCTTTCCACCTCTAGTGCTTTTCAACATAATATTTGAAAAAAAAAAAAAAAAAAGTATTGATCTGAATTGTCTCAATCCATTGCAGTCATTTTTTAGAACATTTTATGAAGATTGAGACAGTGTTTAATAATAGTTGTATTTAATTATATTTTACACCAATATATAATACTTTACTATGTTTATCGAAACAGTAATATGCATATTAACTGTTATTTTTTCCATTGTATTAAATTATTTTATTTTTATAAATAAAACTTCTTTATCCCTATTTATAATTTTCTCACTAAGTACAAGAAAATTTTAAAAAATGAAACTAGCAAAAAAATATATAATTTTAAATGAATTATTTAAATTTAATTTAACTTTACTATATTCTTTTGAAACAATTTCATTTAACATTAATATATTTTATATCAAAATCGTATTATAAATAGTTCAGGAACTTTAATCATGCACTATAAAAGGAATTTAATTCAATATGGAATTATTTTGAAATGCTATCACTGTGCAGCACAAAAACCTTCTAGAAACTCAACAGAATGTTTTATATTTCAAGGTCGACAACTATGACATTCTTATCATTGTTTATTGCATTATTTAAGTATCTGCCATGCTTAATTGCCAAAATTTGCAATTTAATTGTTCACTTTGTAATATTCAGATTTCAGATGTTGGCTAAGAATTTATGTGATAACTACTTTAACAAAGAGTTTTGCTAAAATGGCTATGTTACTATATGTATATTAAGCATCAATACTATATGCACTAACAGTGTGTATTATTCTAATCACACTTAATTGTTAATGTTGATTGAACAAATGCCAGAAAATAATGTGAAATTACAGCAGTTTATACTGTAGAATAAGTTACTACGAAATATCAATTTTTTCTATTAAATATACATGTAAAATCTAATTTTTGAAGAAAAGTTTGCCAAATTTTCACTTGAAAGACTTATTAGATTATGCAGTATTATGTTTAATCTCAAAAGAAAATAATTGCATTATCTTAGGTAATTTTGCTCAGTTGACCATACCATATTAAATATCTTACTATTATTAGTAGTGATGCAAGTTTTGTAGATTAGATCAACTTCACCATGAGCAGGAGAAGTTTATGTTCATATGATTAAACATGAATAGGAGGGGTTTGTTTGTTACTGTATGTAATTCACCTACAGTAAAACCTGGCTGAATATAGGGCTTATGTTATTAACAAACTGCAATACATCTAAATTGCATTTTGCAAAGTTAACTCTCTGTGGAATTTAATATTTGGATATAATTTGGGTCATAGAATCGAAATATGGAGAAAAATTGGCACGCCATTTCAGAAAAAGTCTGATTTTATATCAAAATACCTATGTTAGAACAATGCTATATATAATGCTAATAAGTATCCAAATCGCGTTTTCGAGACATGAAAAACGCAAGTTAAACTTCATCTATTGGCCCAGTAGAACAGGAGATATAGAAATGTCCCACTTTCTCTTTTTGTGCAAGGTGTACATGACAGAATTGTTATTGTTACGTTTTTCCTTTACGTTACATACGGGTTCATGAATTCATGAACTTGGAGTGAATAACGATGACACTTGATGAAATATCAAAACACAATATATTAGCCAGTATTTATCAGCCAAGACAAACCAAAAACACTTTTACAGTTGTCGAAGAACTACTATAAACACTCAGCGTGTTTATCAATGCTGAGTGTTTATAATGTATATCTATCTTTATTTACTGATTGTGATGCAGCCTTCAGACTATCAAGCTATAACTGTGAAGACGGACAGCTTCACCGCAAAGCACAAGAGTACAGCTCCCTAATCTTCTCGGTCGTTTTCGGAACTCTGTGTTCTTGAGACTCTCCACGCTTCAACTTGCGATGCAATAGAGTACTAGAGTTGATAATTCACTAGAGTACAGTTCCCAACTCATTTTGGTCGTTCTTGGAGCTCAACATACTCTAAGATAAAACTTGACGATGAACTAACTCGCGATACACTGAGAGACTTTCTCGATGCACTTTACGACCAGCTTGCCACTGGACTTCCGAGACACTCGCTCACTGACTCTTTACTGACTTCATTAGACACTCACTGACTTGATGGACTCGCACTCCAGCGGGGTTTATATAGCTTTTGGCTTGCGTTCCAGAACATTCTGAGCCAAACCGGTAAGAATTTGTTCTAGAAGGTTCTCCATCCGTCCATGGCATATCGTCAGTTTTGTCATCAAGTGGGCGATTTCTCACCAAATATAGCAACCCCGCCTTCTCTTGCCATTTTCTTTCAACCCTAAATCTGCTTTATGGGAAAGCTATCCTACTGCAGCGGGACATTTTCTAACATTATTATTATTAAATAGTAGGCAATTTTTGCTTGGGACAGTGTCTGATGCAACTCATCAAATGTTTTGCTGTAAGAAATGCAAAGTTTTCCAATACCTCTCTTAAAGAATCCTCCTCTGGCTTTATTTGCATCAATCTTCATAACAAAATCTGACAGTCTCTGTGGTTTTTTTTAGCACTTGGTTTAACATCTTGTCTATTGAATGCTAATCTTCTTCACTATCACTGCTTTCATCATCAGCTGGTGGTGTAAGATCATCCAATTCTTTATTTATCTTTTTATGAACGTCATTCTCAACTAATTCATCAATTTTTCCTTCTTCCATATCTGAAAATCCTTCGCTGCCTGTTGCTTTTGTAATTTGTATGATTTGTGTTTGATTGAAATCCTTTAAAACTGTAGACAAATTCTGGTCAGAGCTGCTGCCAGCAAATATTCATTGTTGATGAATTCACTTCTTCCTGTTCAATTTGAATAATTTTTATGCAGTTTCTTATGTTGACTTGCTTCCAAAACACCATTAGAATCACACACACCCTAAACACACATAAGACAAAAAAAAAAAAAAAAAAAAAAAAAAAAAAAATTGCTAACTCTGAAATAATTTCAACTCTATAATTCCAACACCTATATTTCAGGACACTGTTTGACAGGGTTGCCATACTACCTGAAAATCCAGAAAATGTCAGTGTTCGGAAAGTCAGTGTTTGGTGATTTTACTGCTGAGGTGCTGGTTGGCATTGGAAGACATTTCTTTTCCATCATGGATAAAAGTAATTTGTTATATGTTAGTTTACAGTATGTTCTGGGCAGTATGAAATAAAAAAAATTGGGTTGTTTTGAAGAATGTTGTTTTAAAAATGTCAAAAAATTGGTTCAGACTTGTGGTCTAGGGGTAGGAAACATGTTTGGCTAACTGAAATTAGTTTTAAAAACTTCAAAATATAATTTATTCTTCATTCATCTATCCATTCTTATTCATAAATATTAATTTATTTAAACAGGTACTGTTTAGTATAGTTATAAGTAATTATAAATTATTTAAATCACTTTACTTGAAAATATTATTTTTATCATGCAGAAAATCTTTTCTACCCACTTTCCATCCTGACATAAATAAACTTTTATTATTTCATTTTCCTCCAAAAGCTGTTATACTTTTATTCATTATTTCACTGGGCTATTGAATTTTTGCTTCTGTAATGGTTTGAATTTAAAGCTGAGTTATAAAGCTAATTCTTTTCTTCTAGAAACCTTTGAAGGCTTTGATTCGAGAGTTTTAGAAGTAAGCATCTTTTTAAAATTATTGATCTGTTAATTATGAAAATTATAGTATTAGAAATTCAGTGTTTTTTTAAAGTGAGAGGAATGCAAGAACATGTAGAATTAATATTTTCTGAATATTTTTTGTTCAATTGTTTTAAGAGAAGTTATTTAAATTGTATCAAAATTAAAGTTTCAGTAATTGTTGTTATTGCAGTAATAAATAAATTTTTCATTTTAAGTTTGCTTGTCTGTAGACTGTAATATCCCCTGTCCCATAGTTGTGTAGGAAATAATTTAAATGCTATTGTCTAGTCTTTTTTAGTATAGTGTCTAGTCTTTTTTAGTATATGTGTATTTTAATTTTGAATTATTTTATGCTAACCTTATTTTTTTTTTCTGGTACTATAGAGAGAAAGCAGTGAAACTGAACAGCTAAGAAATATCATTTATATAAACATTCATTGTCTATAAAATAAAGTTACCCTTAAATCTTCTGTTTGTATACCACAGAACATTCTTATCCTCCTTTTTTAACCATAAAGACCTGACCATCAGTTTCATGAAGGCTTTGATTTATTCTATCAGTGTATATGTCATTCCTGCAGTATAATCTGTTACTTTAAAATAGGTACTTCAAAGCTGTTGCCTGTCCTCGACATTTGCACTTGCATCTCGGGTCATCATCACCGCACAGAATTTAATTTCTTCACGTGATTTGAGGCTATAGTTTGAATGATGTGTAGAAAATAGGTGCTTCATTCTCATGCTTTTCATGAATTGAAACATCCTAAATGGAAGTAAAGTTTGTGTATGTGTGGGGGGAAATGAAACGATTCAACCTTTTCTGCAGCTTTTGTTCCTATAGTTACGAGTCAAATCGGGTGGCAGAAATTAATTTTGAAATTCCTATTTTAAAGCAACAGACCGTAGTGTTAGCTTCTTTCGTTAAATATCCCTCGTCCACCAAAAAATCATCCTGATATCATCAGTGTACTTTTACTACAATTATATATCCAACAAGTGTTCACTGATGTAAAATCCTAAAACACGAGTATGCAATATTTTCTGATTATACTAAAAAAATTTTGACCTTTTGTGTCTTGGCATTGTTTAATTATATGCATATAGAAGATTTATAGTATTTCATCCTTTGTTTGGGAGGGATATGCAAGAAATTATTGTCTCATTTAATTTGTTAATTTTGGTTTTAGTTTAAAACGGTTATGCATATGTCGGGTCAGAGAGGACGAGTGAGAAATTTTAGTGCCTTTGTTGTTGTGGGAAACAAAAAAGGTTTAGCAGGTAATTTATTTCAATCATTTTATGGTGTTATGTTTTTAAATCTCAATAAAATATGGGTAGCATAATTATAAACATGTATATTTTAGGATATGGCCTGGCGAGATCTGTGAATGCTTCTACTGCTGCCAATGCGGTAAGGCTTTTTTTTAGTGTGTGTGTAATGTACAATTCTCCCTCTAAAAGTTTCAGATTTTTTAAATGGTAAAATTTTAGTATAAAGCTGTCATTGCAGAATTTTTCATGTGGGAAACTATAACCTAACTTGTATCAGTAAGAAAATATAATTTGAAGAAATCTATGCTGCATTCTTTATGGAATATTTTTTTCATATGGAATCTGTAGAGTATCTTTTTAATTAGTTACAGAACGAAATAAGATAATTATAATTTTGGAAAAAATGCCTGATGTTCATTCTTCTTTAAACAGCAAAGTACTGTACAATTTAAGTAAAGTTTTTCTGTTGAAAATATGTCGAACATTTAATTAAAACTTACTTTAGCAGTTTAGAAATTGCTTTTTCATATCTGATCAAATAAATAGATAAAGCTAGTTGAATAGTTATATCAGATAAAACTAATCCGTTATTTTATAGCAAATTAATCAGAAGTAAATATTAATATCTTTATGAAATCCCATGTGCTGTAGGAAACATTTAGCTATTAGAACAGCTAGTAAGAAAGTGTTAACATTAAATTTGTTCGAACAGTTCTCACTGCTGTTTTTGCAATACATGCTTATTCTTTGCCAAAATAGACATAAAAGAATTTTATGGACCCTAATGTTGTTTTAATTTACTTTCTAGCGTGGAATAGCATGAATTTTTTTATTGAAATGCCACAATACTCAGACTTCTATTGTGAATATATCAAGTAATAAAGCATGTGTATGAAGGAGTTATAAAAGTTGACATACCTTATAATTGAAATTGTAAAAATCAGATACTAATTTTTTGTTATTGTTGTGACTTTTATCACTTGTCTGACAGTAATATCAGCACAAGCCCATGAAATTCATCGTGGTAAGAAGTGCAAGATTACACCTGTCATTGGCAAGAGTCTTGAGCACCATATGGCTGACAGTACAACTTTGCTAAGTTCTGCTTCCAATTTTGTCGAGAGCACCCTGGGAGGGAGGGATCTGAGGGTCTCCCACCCCTCTTCCCCTACCACCAATATTTCAAGAGGCCTTTTGGCTCGCCACATATTTAGAGTGCCTGCATGCTGCAGACACTTTCTAATTCGAACCTAGGCCCTTTGGTATGGCAGTTAGTGTCACTAGCCATATCTCAGTTGAGCGGCAGATGCTAATTTGAAATCCTCAACAATGCAATGCAAATTTCAAAATAATCTAGATAACCACTACAAAGCTGATGAAGATGACTGTACAAAAATTTCAATGGCATGAAAACAAACAGTGTATTCAGTGTTTTATCAGTACTTGTGAAATTTCAAAACCTCAGCAAATTCAGAATAAATTTTGTAAAATATAATACCGTGTTTAAATATAAAAGACCTATGACTCCATTAGAACAGGGGGGAATGTTTACATAAAGTGGTGTTTCTAAAATCGAACCTAAATAAAGTAACCCCTGCTATTATGTATCTTGGTGGTGAAATCAACTTAAGTATTGCAGTTTTAAAACCTTGTCTGTTCCACTTTGTACTCGAATTGGCAACAGCTTGTTCTCTTCTCAGAAATAATGTTAGTTGGCAGTGGGCATTAGACAAAAAAGCTGAATATATATTTCAAAATAGTGGAAAACACTTATTCCCTCACATCACATAATGTAAAACAACAGTTTTTAAAAAAATCCGAAGTTAATAAAGGAAGTAGATACAGGATGTTGCTGAGTCTCTTATATTTCTGACTTGCTTTCTTAGATAAAGAAGATTTCAAGTATGTACTTTTTTAAACTTGTACTATATTGAAATGTCTCCCTCCATAAAATCCTTATCTTATTCTACAAGTTTTTGAAGAATGTTTATGGTTTCAAATAATAGCTTTACTAGAAAGTACCATACTTTTGTACTGCAAAATGTATCCACCTTGTTCATGCACTAGCATTTGCTGATTCTTTTGTATACTTGTATTTTGTTTTAAGTATCTTTAGAAATGCATGATGAAATTTTTAAAAACTGTGTTTACCACTGTAAAACATGTTATTTAAAACATTTCATCTTTTTTATAACATAACACCTTTTCAAACCTTTTCACCTTTTTTTTTATAACACCTTTTCAAAGCTGAGAATGAGCCTGTTTGTTCAAATTGTAATGTTTGTTTATCTGTCTGTCATATTTGAGTGTCCATGTTTTAATAGTCTTTGTCAGAAATATTTTAATAGCTGTGACTTACCTCTCGACCGTTTAATCGCTAGAGAGGCTAATTGTAATTTATTTTATTATTTAAAAGAGACTGGCTTTTACTACCTAATGTAATTTGTTTTGAAGATTGTGTCTTGGATTTTAATGTGTTTATATATATATGTGTGTGTGTGTGTGTGTGTGTGTGAGCACATCCTCTGGATTTACTACATTTGTCCACCGGTTTTTATTTATTGTATTTTAACTTCATTAATTTTGATCATCCCACCTTGTGTTTGACATGTCATAATCATGTTTGGTTTTTGCGCCAAAAACCTCACTCTCACTCACTCTTTATTTTGAGTCTCTTTAAGAAATATTTGACAGTATTGTTGAAAGTACAGTAACTTTGAGCTAGACTTGAAATGGGATCTATAGCAAATTTTTAAAAGTATTGTTTTTAAAATAGGTATTGTAAAAGAAATTAATGAATAATCTGACTGTTATAAGTAGTAATAGTTATGTATTTTATTAAAAAGAAAAAATAATCTATACATAATGTGATAAAAATATAATAGCTCTCATTGTGTTCTTTTTCTTCAAAGATATGTTTCCTGCCTATTAACCCTCTGAGCGGCCAGAGTTTTCGGTAAGAAAACACAAATTTCCCAAAACTACTATGAGAACAAATTATATTTTTTTATTTTAATGTAAAAACTCTTCTGGAATTTCATACCTGGATTTGTATACTTTTGATACAAATTGCCTTAATTTCTTTGACATATTTTAATATGCATGTATATAGCATTCTTACAGATATCACAAAAAATATTCTAGGCCATATATATACGGCGTTGCCGCTTAGAGGGTTAAAGAGGTATGTTTTTGAAGCATTAGAAAAGTATAGTATTTAATCTTGAACTATAAATGTAAGTTATACCTATAAAATCATAATATATTATCACATCTCTAGTTAGTAATGGTTTTTAAAATCTTATCATAATAAGTAGTACTGTGTGATATGTAATATTTATACCGTTGTAATGTAATATCATTTTATGTGAAAATATGCCAAGTAAAAAACTTTTATTCAGCTCCTGTTGCTTTATCTCGATGTCTAGTTTATTAAAAGAAATCTTGTATCAGTCATCAAAAAGCACAGTTTTCACATTTATATAAACAATAATGATAATTCAGGTATTGACATCTTCTGTCAATAGTTGGATTTTATTATTATTTTTTTTTTTAATTTTATTTTGTGTTTTAATATTTTGTAACCAAAATCATAATAAAATGGATTGAAAATTCATGCTTCTGTATTTCTCTTTAGGCTAAAAACAAAGCAGCCCATGTCTTGCGTTATATTGAACTTGATAACAATACAGGTATGTGTTTTAAAATTCAGCTATAGAATTGTATCAAATTTATTCATAAAATCTGCTGTATTAAATTCTGAAATATTTCTCTATGCTGTGTTTATGTGTATTTAAAGAAGAAGTTATGAAACAAATAGTGTTATAAGATGTATATTTTTATTTGAAATGACTAAGAAATTATTATCTTTATGTTGTAAAGTAAAATTAACTAAAAAAATGAGTAGTTTTTCAAAATTTTTGTTATAATTTAGGTATAGGACAGAATGTTTTAATGTATAATGTGTTACATCAAAGGCTGATCAATAAGTGTAGTAAAAATAAATCAATAATATAATAAAAAAGAGCCATATCTATTAAAAGGAGGCATTATAAATGTGCATTTTTAAATTTTAAAAAAACAATGATGTGTGAAAAAGTGTGCTTTATGAGTAAGACTCAAGAAAATATATAATGAAGACAGCATAATTCATTGATAGCTTTCATTTGCCTTTATTTTAATAAGTTTGAAAGAAAATTAAAAAGAATAAAGTAATGTAAAAAAGATAGCAGTTCTGAATTGATTTTCATTTTGTACAGTGTGAGCACAAAAACAGTCTCGGTTTCGAAAGGGGATGACTTTAATACCGAAAGGACTATCTTGCCCAAATTTTTAACATAGTTACATAAACTTTTTGGTGGTATTGATTTGAATCACAATCTCTCGATGTGCGTGCCACCTGTTACGCGGGAAACATCGATACGGTAATTTAGTTCCAACTACACGTTGTGAAGCATATCCGAAGTTGACAGCAGCACTGATGCTTTCTTGAAGTTCATTCAGAGTTGGGGGTAATGGCGGTACATACACTTGGTCCTTCACAAATCCCCACAGAAAAATGTCACAAACAGTTAGGTCCGGTGATCTTGGGGGGCCACTTGCAAACAAATGGATCATTGAGTCCAGCGCGACCTATCCATTGGTTTGGGAGGTTCTCGTTCAGAAACCTGCATACACCCTGATGCCAGTGTGGTGGCGCTCCATCTTGTTGTAGAATGTAGTCATCTCTCTCTGCAGTAAGTTGAGGAATCAAACAGTCGTGTAGCAATATTAAGTAACTTTCACCTGTAAGTGTTTGTTCCTGAAAGAAGAACGGACCGTATACCCGACGCTCTGATACAGCATAAAACACATTAATTTTGGGAGAGTCACGTTCCACATCTAGAGTTGCATGCAGATGCTCGTTTCCCCAGATCCTAACATTGTGCCTATTGACCTTTTCACTTAAATGAAAGGTCGGCCTCATCTCTGAAAATTATCTTCATCAGAAGGTTTTCATCGCCCTCCATTAAAGTTTGGATAGTCTCGCAAAACTCATGCCGCTTTACTTTGTCTTGTGGGTGCAACTTCTGAACCAACTGCAGCCGGTATGGGTGAAACTGCAAACGCTTGTGTAAGATCTTGCTTATTGTTCTTTGTGGCACCTGCAACTCTCTGATAGCTTTACGTGTTGACTTCTTCGGGTTGCGTACAAAAGCAGGCTTCTCTCACGCGCTGCACAATTTCCTCCGAGATGGAAGGTCGGCCAGAATGTCCTTTTCTTTTATCACAAATGCACCCTGTCTCACTAAATGTGTTACGCCACTTCAAAGTGGATTTGTGTGTAGCTGGATCAACATCAAAGTTTCGTTTGAACTCATGCTGCACTCTTTCAACACTGCTTGGTTTTGCAAATTGTAACACACACCAGCTTCGTTACTGTGGGTGAATGTCATTTTCGATGTCACTGCCCTCTAGCAGTCGAAGTCATGCATAGCAATTCTGTAAAGAAAAGAAATGAAAAATATTTGAGTTAACTGAGTTGTGTATATTACATTTATCAACATATGCAAGCAACTGTTAATTTTATGAGACCTTGAAATCAGGGACTGTTTTTGTGCTCATTCTGTATTTTCTTACTGGGGAGTGTTTCTTTGTCAGTATATTATTGAGTGTTTTGCCTCTGAATTTTTCTTTTCTGAGTTTCCCAACTTTGCTTGCTGTTTTTCTTCCCCCTTTTTGTGAACTTTTTCTTCTTCTCTTTAAATCATATTAAAATATTCTTCCTATGTTGCCTTGCGTGATGGAGCTTTCTCTATTTTACTTGAGGTTTTTGTCATATTTGTTTGTTTAGCAGAATTATTTTACTAAATAAAATGTTGCAAGTGAATGTGCTTGCATTTAAGATTTAAGAGGTTCCTCCCCCCATTGAAGTGTAAGTAATAGATTTCAAGAATTCTGGAGTTGCCTCAGTAACTAAATTTTCGAATATCAAAGCATCTTGCCGAGTATTATCAATTTGATTAAGTTCTGACTTTCTGAGAATGAGCAAATTAAGATGTTACATTCTGGCAGCTGAAGCTTTCCATATCTTTGAGTGGTTTGAATGTATATCTGGAACAGGTGGGTAATTTAATCATTGTTGCTTATTGACCGGGACCCTTTAGAATGATGGACTCATTAAGTGTGAAAGCTGCCTGCCATATAGTAATATTTATGGTCCTACTATGAGTAAAACTGATTTAAAAATATTTTCAGACCTTTCAATTTTCATAAATCTTTTGGCTGGAGAATTCATGCAGTGCAATCTATATAAACCCCTTCATCCTTTCAGTGTGCTGTACATACAAGAAGGATCCTTTGACCATGGGAAGAAAGAAGGACCTTATGTTGAAAATCACATGATAATAGTAGTGTTTCTTCTTTCTGAGCATTTGATAGTATAAAATTTTGCTCACTTCCTACAACTACTTTTTGGATCACTTGAAAAATATGTTTAATCTAAATTCCAAATATGAGCTGCCTTTCTTTGGAGACTTAAGGATGTCATCACACATTAAACTTTGTTCTAAAAGCCTTAAATCAGGAAAAGGTTTTTGGTTGCATCTTGCCATTTTCAGGATTTTTTTTTTTTTCATTCTAGTTCAGACCTCTTCATACCAATGCTGGTTTTCTGCCGGCAGAAAATAGCAACAATCAGCTGAAACTAATGCACTTATTTAAAATGTTTTTTACTTCCTTGTACGAAGTAAAAAGGAAGTATTGTAATCGTGAAAAGTTTCAGGCAGCATATTTAAACAAAAATATCCATTTTGACCGCTATCGAATGCAATTTAACGATGTTTTTGAGTGATATTTGTACGTAAAAACAGAATAAAAGGCTCTTTTCCTCCAAAAAAATAATAAAACTACTTTAAAATGAGTTCTGAAGAGAATTTTTCGTGGCGTCTGTACGAATGTATGTACGTACGTATCTCGCATAACTCAAAAACGAGTAGCCTCAGACGTGAAATTTTGCATATAGGACTGCTATAACATGTAGATCTGTACCTCATATTTTGGTTGCAATCGGCCGCACCAAACGTATATAAATATATTTATATGTATATATCCACTCTGCTACCCAGCTCAATGATTTCAGTTTCTTTACTCTTATATGTTTGTAAATTGTACATTTTGTGCTTTAAATATGATTGAATTATGTGGTTCTTATCTTCCGGTTAAAGTGTTTATGCCTTTAGTAAATCTGTATGCAATATTTTTAGAATTATCAACAATTTTAAAGTTGTTTAAGTGCTGCTAAGCCTAATAATTTTTTTGTTGACAACCATTGCTTGTTTACATTTTAAACAGCAGAATAATGGATTTTTTGCCAATGTAGAGAAACTAAGCTTCGCAACAACAAAGATAACGCCTTCATTTATTATTGCAAATTAAATCATGTTTAATCATTTCTGGAATTTTTTCGAGGAAATAAGTGTTTAAGATTTACTTCGTAATTTTTAATTCAGATATTTTGAGTTTTTATGTATTTTTGCCTTGTCGTGAAGTGAGAACTGAATTAATTGAATGAGAAATACTCAATCATCTGTGAAAAGTTTCTTTTTTGTTTTGTTTGCTTAATTTCTTTTATACATCGTTCTAGCTTTATAATAGTTTTTGAATAGAGCATGTGGCAAATATTAGATAATTCTTTAAATGATATAAATTTTGTGCATTCTGAGTTATAATATGAATGAAATATATACTGTTAAGTGAACCTAGCACCAGAGTGTCTCTGTGGGAAACAAATAGAGAGAATTTTAAAGAATGCATTTATTCTATTGTGGTTTATGCGCTGTCGGCGAAGTAGATTTAATTCAATCCGATAAGTTTAAATGAAATGCAAGAAAAAATGCTTATAATTTAATATTCCGTACAAGGAAGTCGTGGTGTAAACATCGGATTTTTTTTTTAGAAAGATTTCTGAACTATTGATATTTATCATAAGCCAGTAAATATTATCAACAAATGAAAAGAAAACATGCTTTAGCAATTTAAAATACAGATTTGAGTTAATTAAATAAGGATTACATGATACATTAAAAACATAAAACACTTGCATTCTTCTTCAAATCTCTTTGTTATTATTTTTATTATTTTCTTTTGCACTTATCTCCCATGTACATGGTGATCTGTTTTTGCTTAAGAAAACATTAGAGAATTGTGGGGATTCGGCTTCATGCAACTCTTGGCAACAGCAGCTATTGAGGAAACACATTTCCTCCTTATTCTCTTTATAGAATTATCAGCAAACTTCTGTATTTCTGCAGAAATTTTATCATACTTTCTTCCATTAAACTGGCAAGTTTCAGAAGCTCATATTTTAAAACAAAGTTTAAGGCAAAATTTGCAAATTTTAGGAATAGTTTCATGTCTCTTGACAATTTTGTCAAAAATGAATCTAACTCATTGGCATTTATTGATGTCATTATGCATTCTTCTAGAAGTTAATGTAGTGGATTTGGGAGTTTTGGGTGCAAAAAGAAATTCATGAGAAGATTGTAGTAGGGTGTGCTAATTGTAGAAATCTCATTATTACTAAACTTTATGGATAAAAGAGCATCTTAAAAAATGCAGTGGTGACATTAGTAATGAAAATGAGCAGTAAGTAGATTTATTTTCTAACATGGAAATGTGTAATGATTTACAAGATTATTCAGCTACACCCGCA